ATAATATGTGTTCATGTGATAGAGAAAACATAACAAATGACGGACTCTGGGCAGTATACTGGATGCCACAGATGCCACACATTATTACACACGCATCTGTCACCCGTTTATGTGAAAACATGACATAGGAAGGTCGCGAAGTCTGTTATATGATATAATAAGTGACTCAAAAACAACATACACAGGACTGATTAGTTTGTTTTCATGTTGTTTGTGTGATTGTTTACACTAATGTCTTCTTGTATATTTTTACACATTGTAGTTGTAAAACATAACACTTCACATGTTTTATTCCTTTCATGTAGTCATTACAACATCATCAATTGTGAACAACGGTGTCGAAGGATTGCAAGTCTTGCTTTAAGTTTTTCCATCAGTATGGCAAAACTCAAGGCCTCAGTAAAGTTTGCAAGTCCTTCTTAATTAATCCTGATTAGATAACAAACAATTGCAAGTGACACCTTCAACTCAATAAACCCTAATTAGTTTACACTACGATTCATGCCGCATCGTGTGGAAACGTGTGGAAAAAAAACCCAGTGGGAGAGATACTTGCCAATGAAAGGTAGGTGAATATCGAGTTTCTCTGCAAATATCGAGTTAAAAGGGTAATTTTGCTTGTTGGGCCATGAAACTGTTATCGAGATATCCGAAATATCGAGACATCCGTATCGAGTTAAAAGAGCTTGAATAATGATACATTATGAAGGCTTTTGCGGGGACCGAGATGTTATATCGAGACAACCGAGACATTGAGTTATCAGAGTTCAACACAACGGTGCTCGACTGTAAATGATTTATGGTAAACATGTGGCTGACATTTCCAAATCGATGCAATTAGCAGGTTTGACCTGCCCCTCTGTTTTATCAGGTACACAATTGACCTGCCTCTGTGTGTGTTTCGTCAGATGCCATCAGTTTGGGAAGTATCGGTCCACATGTTTGCAAGCACCTGGTATTACCACTATTCGATGATGATTGATTGAATTGTTAGAATCGTACAGATGACTCTTGTTCAAGACGAGATCCTTTGTGTCCTGTGGGAGCCGTCTCTTGCACACTTTGTAGTTCTTGTAGTGTGGACACTGGTTGGAACAGGGAGTAAGTCAGCAGTTTATCTGTGTGTAAATATTGTCACGGATTTCGATTGTAAAACGGATACGTCAGTACTGACTTTGAAATAGCCGCACATTTCAGGTATACACAGAATCGTGACAACTAACTGCCATTATTTCTTCACATGTGTGATGATTGTTGGTTATGATTATACACCACTGACATCACCAATATGGTATGAGAGACGACTAATAGGACGGGGTGGTCAAGCACAATTTTATGCTACTGTATCCCACTGATGCGGGTCAGTGCTCACTGTGTCAATCACTGGTTCGTATGGTCCAGACTTGATTCTTTTACGATTCATTTTCCTGTAACTGGAATATTGCTGAATTTGTAAACCAGAACAACAAAATATGCTTTGACAAGACAATTAGTTGTCTTTTATAATTGCCTAATCTAAATCTCCGCGATATAGCTGGAATATTGCTGAGTGCGGCGTTAAACAACAAATAACAGCAACTAATCTAATCTACTCTCACATGATCTTTACCTCTAACACAGACCCTTAACCCTACCTTAAATGAAATGAATTAATGGGCTCCAATTTCTTAAACTATGAACGGACGTGGTCCTCGCTGTTTGCTATAAGGATTTGTTTGTTATAGGTAATAGTGTGAAAGGAAAGCCCGCAAATGCATATCGCCAGTACGAAAAGACGCCCGGTTGCAACTACTCACAAAAGCAGACTAGTTAGTTAAACAGGTACCAGAATTCATACATGTCTGAAACCATTTTATCATTTATTTCCCTTGCCACTGCATAGCACACCACTGACAAAGGCTTACCAACAGTAAGGTATCTTATCCATTCTTCAATACCTATACTCAATATTTCTGTTTACTGTTCAAAGAAATGGTATGACGGAATACATTGTGGTTCAGATTCAGAAATAAGAAATGATCAATTCAGAAATTCTTCATTTGCGTTTATCGGAAACAGAATACGACTTCAGTCCAACACCATATGTGTTCGTAATGTTTATGAGTTGACATTTCATTGCGTTTAACATTCCTATGCAATAGCACATTCGGGGCCCTATAGTCGACTCCTCTGCTGAACAGACCTACCGACGACCGAAACAAATGTCAGTTTGTACGAAAACACATGAAAATACATCAAATCATCTGGACGGACTGTCTGTAATTTCAACAAGATTTTCGTCATTATCTATGGATATATTTAAATAATCACTTGATGAAAACATCCAAACAGTTCGTGTCTTGCTGACCAAAGTGACGACACTTTCTTAACTTTCGCAAAGGCAAGTCCCTAGCATGGTGATCTACCTTCGGTTGTCGGTAATCTATAGCCTGTTTCTATATTGCATAGTCATTTATAGTTAAAATGTTTTAGATTTAATTACTAGTTCTAAATTTATGTCTGTGATAATCTAGTTGTTTTACTGGCCTTCGTTAACAGAAATGACATGTGTGATGATACAGTTTTGTTTTGTAAATACGTTTTGGTCTCCAATATGAATGGGACTTGTGGAAACGTTCCTGCTCAGTAACTCATAATAACTCTTGACTTGTAACCATTGAGAAAATGTAATCCCAACTATAATGTGTGTTACACTTGCAACCATTAGTACACAAACTGTCACCACCTTCTGTCACTTTGTTCCTGTTTGTTACTTATTTGTATAATTGTTTCTTTGCATAAAAAAATACTTTAAACCAGTGACAATCGAAATTACAATTTTACATTTATGATTAGTTATTGAGGTTGTTTTCTTGTCCAGTATCCCCATAGAGTATATATATGTAAACCTTGAGATGCTAACAATGAAACGCACCCAGGATCATAGCTAATATTGTCATCAACAAGAAAGGTATGATACTTCTTGTATGTCAACTTCTTTATTTAATGTCAAGCAACGGTATGAGAACCTATACGTCGCATCAAAATACATTAACGAAGTTGTCATCCGTAAACTATCATACCTATCTTAACATTCATTAATTTTTAAAATGCCAATGAAACAGATCAGGCGGAAAACTTCTGATCGGTTTGTAAAACGTTTCACATCGCGGTAATTGCCTGTGAATGAAAGACATGGCAACTTCAAACTGGTAATTTGTAGAAAGGTGTTTCGGACATTGTTGGTTTGAATTATCCAATAAAGACATTTATAACTGAAGAATTTAAGGAGGGTTGCTGTCAGTACCATGTTAAGAAAATACAATTTTAGTTGAATGCGCGATAAAAACCGACAAAAAAAGAATGACTCATGATTAATAATGTCAGAGTTTCTTATCCATGACAATAAAGCAGGATGGGGGCTGCTTACACTTTCAGTAAATGCATTTATCGATATGTGCTTAACAAGGAACACATAAACTCTCAAAGCATAGAAATCATCCAATCACTGCACTTATATTATTGCGTCAAGCTTATCTCGGGCAGCGTGTTTTGTCTCAAATTCATTTCAGCGCCGCCACAGTGAACGTTGTATGTTTACAAAGTTGACCTACTCGCAGAGCGATTGAAAGAGTGAGGCGAATCCTTCACAGACACTGGATCCTCGTTTCAGCACAGTTTCAGCATCCTGAGGACCAGAGTTGCCGTTAAACAACCCGGATACGTCGTAACTGTCAACGAAATTAGCATTTGAGATGATGAATAAGGAAGAATGTGGGTTTAGTTTGCCAACAAGCTTAAGAAATAAAGCAAACAAGCATTTTTTTTATTTTGGGTAAGTTATACCTTAGGTAGGATCCCCAGTTACACTAGATTCCTATGCAATGCAACATATAGGATGCTCTGTGAAAATTCAAAATAGAATTTTTGGTTTTCCATGCTTATCGTGAGGGGGGACTAACGGAATCGGATGATTGGGCTCGCTGACTTGCTTGGCGTCATCCTTACATCGTTGCTTAATCACCTGTTTGGTCCAGACCGAATTAATATTATAGGCCGCTGTCATTTAGCTGGGGTATTGCTGAGTTGTTTAACACTAAATATCACAATAAACTACAACTACACACACCAATCCTCTGTCAAACACACCTGATATTGTCAGCAATCCATCTGTAGAAGGCCCGGACTTTTTCCTTGTCATTTGAAGCTGGTTTCACCAGGTACTGTGCTAGAGAGGTCACGGATGTGCGGACATTGGCTGTAGCCTGGACAAAGTCGATCCATTACATTACGGTAACCCGCAACAGATCAACACATTTTTAGATTGGCGTCTGTAACTAACTCACGGCCTTCCTTGAAACCAGCCTCCTCGGACAAACGGGGTCCGGTGTTGTAATTTTACTGTACCGATATTCGGTAATCAGGGCTTCTATTAATTCTGCAGTTCGTGGGTGGTGTTTTGCATGATTTCTTCGTATGCAGTGTTACCCTCTAACGTCACCAGATAAGTAGTACATTGAACTGGCAACATTCTGTACCTGCATTTCTGGGTTTGGATAAAAATATTGTAAAGATCGTGGTCCCTAATCCTTTCACTCATGCACGTGTTGATGTTAGCGCGTTTCCTATACCTATAATAGTCAAACAACTAAAAGAATGCTGAAACTCGCTATAAACAAAAGTTTACCCAGAATCTGTATGGTTTTGTTTCAAGTATCTCATGCCTAAATTGACAGATTTGAACCTGCTAATAGACGCAACTGTCGGACCCTGCTCCTGGGTGTCTGCTACAAGTATATCTCCCGCTACCAACAGTGCACACAATATTCTTGACAGAAGTCTACCCGGTAGGGCTATGGTACAATTGTCAATATTATCCAAGCCGCAAGGAGTGAGGACATTTAGCCTAGCAAATTAATGTTGCACATCAGGACCCCAAGCAGTGCATAAAGCAGTGATCACTATATGTTTCAACACATGAATACACCCTGAAATACTTACAACACAGAAAGTATGTACACTCACCGACATATGCTATGACACATCAGCTGGCACACAGTCATTTCAACAGACCTTCTGTTCATTCTCACCTTCAACGTATGGGCATCGATAGCAGCAAATGCTTCCGGTGAAGGTACAGCGTCTATCTTCTTCGTATTAGGGGGTTTTAATGGGGGGTTAATAGTCTTGCCCGTGGAGTCTTCTGGAGAACGCGCTGGGCGTTTATTCAACATTTTATTGGGGTTAAATGGAATGTAAGGGTCGTTGCTTGTGGGTTCTGCTGCGGGTTCTTCCGGAGAAGGTAATGCGTCTTCCTTCATATTAGGGGGACTAACTGGAATGTAAGGGTCGTTGCTTTTGGATTCTTCTATGGGTTCTTCCGGAGAAGGTAGCATGTCTTCCTTCACCATATTAGGATGACTAACTGGAATGCAAAGGTCGTTGCTTTTGGATTCTTCTGCGAGTTCTTCCAGAGAAGGTAACATGTCTTCCTGCTCCATATTAGAGGGACTAACTGGAATGCAAGGGTCGTTGCTTGTGGATTTTTCTGTGAGTTCTTCATGTGAAGGTAGCTTTGCTTCCTTCTCCGTATTAGGGAGGCTAACTGGAATGTAAGGGTCGTTGCTTGAGGATGTTTCTGTGAGTTCTTCCGGTGAAGGTAACATGTCGTCCCTCTCCGTATGAGGGAGGATAACTGGAATATAAGGGTCGTTGCTTGTGGATTGTTCTGTTTGTTCTTCCAAGGGATTAGGGGGATTAATTCGGGCGTTAGGGTCGTTGCTTGCGGGTTCCGCTCGACCAGAGGCTGGTTCAAGCACGCCGACTTGTTTTGATTTTATGCATCCCATTATGAAACCTGAAACGAACGAATATATTCGAGCTTAGTCAAGTAGTAATATGCAATGAATAGTTTGAAAACTGATTGACACCATCGGGATATGATAACAGAAACATACAGCCGAGGGGTTGCACATAACCGTAAGTCAGCACAAGCAGATGAGTCCCTACCACATCCTACAGTCAGTACAACCAGCTGGGACAGCCTCAACGGTGAAGTGGTTAGAGCGTCCGCCCAGATAGCGAAAGGTCGCGGGTTCGATCCCCGGCCAAGTCATACCAAAAGACGTTATTATTTGGTACTTGTTGGTCCCTGCCTGGCGCTAGGCATTAATGGGTGCAACAAGGACTGGTCTGCTCGGAGTCGACGCGTCTGAGTAGGGTATGGTATCTCAGTGAGCCAACAATATAAAGCCAGCTTAAGTCTGGGCTAGTACATACACACGCATGCACTTCGTCATATGAGCGAACTATTCTTAAGTGCGACGTTATATCCCATTTCACCTCACCTCGAAACCTGGAATGCCAGTTTTCGATAAGTTGCAAGAACAATACTAAGCAAACGTGATATTATCTGTACCTCGCAGTTACCTATCGAAGTTCATTGATTCCATCCACTGATCTTATCATACCAAAATACATTAAATGAATGCACTTGCGTCAATCCGGCAGTCAGTTCAAATCATTAGAATGTCCCAGTGGGATATCCATGTTCATCCAGCCTCATGTAAGAATGTTGAGTTTTGATTGGTTCACGTGACTCTCATAAAATACCATGTACACCCGCCACGATCCGCGATCAGGGAGTACAAAAGTCATATTATCCCGCCACGCCTCGGTGACCACGCGAAATGAGAAAAACGTGCATCGCTAAGCCTTTAGTAACGTGCGCTGCATTGAGGCCAATCGATCAGCTGGTGTCAACATGGCAGCAAGGAAACGTTTTGCCACATCAACTGAGAATGAAATTAGAGCAAAACATTCGGCTAGATAAATGCGTTATCACATCGTGTCGAGGGGAAATACGGGGTTTTATCAGTCCCTCGTACTCGGGGAATACAACCATACTCGGGACTGATAATACCCCGTATTTCCCTCGACACGATGTGATAACTTATATAATCTACGCATGGTATCTCAGTATGTTAGCTCAATAAGATCCGAATGATCCATTGAATGATGGAGCCTAGACGCAATTTTAATCTCCATTTTACCTCACGTAGTCTTGGTTGCAAAGATTATCTTCTTTGCCAAATCATATTATTACGAAAATCTCCGTTTAGCTCTTCCCTTCAATATAACAACAGATAATCAGTGTCAAAATACTTTATTTTCCTCATGTTGGTTCTTTGTAAGAACATGCAACCCGGAAACAAACTAAAATTCAAACAGAAACAAGGATACCCTTGCGATTAGACGTATGTGGGTTGCTGTTAAGAAGAGGTTTACAGCAACCCATGCTTGTCGTGATCAGATCCCTAACGGGATCGGGAGGTTTGTTGGTGTTGCTTGCTGACCGCCGTCCATGTTACTGCCGTCCAACTGCATACATCGATGCTCATGATCACTATAACTGTTTTATCTCGTCCACTCAACCATTAACAGACGGCAGACACATTGATGTAATATAATTGAATTCACATTGCATGATGAGTTTCACATATCCATTGTAGGTTGTCACGGGAATCGAACGTGAATTGCCTGTGTGTAGTTCCGATAACCTTCAAGTGCGAAATTGATACCACATAATATTTTCTGTCAACGCCAACACAGTTGGTGACACGAACAAAACTTGCTTATCGATTATCCCAAAATACTTCGATATACATTACATTATGTTTACATTATGTTTACTTGGCTCGTGTAGACTAAGATGTTTATGAAATAATTCTCAATGAGAAGGCTCAGCGTGGAGGAAGTGTTGTCATGATAGGGAAGACACACACTCACGCACATCGTGTTACGTCCACTGGAGTGGAAGTCGACCTAATGCAGCTTAGACATATACTCAAAGGCAAAAGTTAGTGTGATTTACCTAAAGTTGGATATGTGAACCTATGCTTGACACCTGTGCAGGTGTGCTGGACACCTGTGCGGGTTCGACCATTAGCGCAGTGCAAGAGGAATCAGGACTAGTCTGTGAAGAGAACATGTCCGTGTGCAGCCAGACCTTGGCGAATCGTCCTTGGCGATAGCCTGTTGACAGCGGGAACTGTTCGGGCAGTCATTGTGGCTGGGTGGACAGTTCGAATCCAACGATCGTTGTGTGGCATGGTTACAGGTGGGTGGCCACTTCTGGGACGGTCTGCAACGTCGTTTTGTTAATAACGTCTCCACAAGCAGCATGTGGTGTTCCTGTGCACGTTAAACTGCTGTTTCGCCATCTTTCATTTTCAGTTATCCGTGGCATAGAGAAATGCAAGCAGATTCTTGCAAAGATTAGAGCCACACTTTTTAAAAAGGGAAGTTTTATGCCTATTTCTGTGGAATCTTGAAAGCACCATAAACGAATGAAAACAAAGACTACCTACAGGACCCTGTTTGGGTTATGAATTAAGAGTATCATAAAGAATATGAAAATGCGTCATAAAAGATTTCTCATTTATATGAACAAATGTTTTGATCACACTAACTTTTACTTTTGATCATAAAATCTGTAACAACAGTGAAAAAAATACACTGGTTCATGTTGACACGGCAATAAATATATTGCTATGACAATTATGGTTACAGGTAGGAAATATTAAATATATAATCGAGTATTAGTTTTGATGCAGGAATATGATGTTTTTGCTTTAAATAAAATCACATATTGGTTTATACTTGCATTATTGTATTCAGACAAATACTTCACATTTACGAAACTGTTGTTGGGAGCGACAGAATTCACACTCATCAAGTAAAATTAAGCTTTTCTAAACAGTCTCGACTGGAGAAATGAATGTGAATTTTACGGTTTATTACGAAGTAGTTTCAACAAAATAACAAAAGTTAACAATCGATATACACAACATAAATAGCCACCTGTTTTTGTTTTGTTTTTTTATGAATGATCATCGTGCAGCAAAAATATGTACAATTTATGTTCAGCTAATATACAGTTTATGTACGGCCTCCTCTTTGTGAACGCTTCGCCAGGCACAAGAAGTTATCGCCTGATCATTGCTCCGTCACTTGCAAAACCCCTTTCTATTTTGCAGAGCGACAGATATTGATACAGTGATTGCATTAATTTTTGTCACATAAAGCTGGAAGGGAAACGTACATCTGCAAGTTAAGATAACTCCTGTAGGTCAAGAATCACTTTTCGTACCTTCAGAAACAAACGTCTTTCACAATTTAGTACATGTAAATAAAATATTATAGTAGCCGGTTGTGTACATACCTGATGATTGTGTGTATTTCCGACTTAATGCAGAATATATTTTAAAGTATACATATCCAAAGGAGTTTCTCATGTGCAGTGATTGGCCAGTTGCATGCTGAGTTGACACCAGTAACCAACAAACAGACGCCTATCCAACCGGTGGTTGACGTTGTTATCTATAGACATGTTGCATATGTCATGATCTGCCCTTAGATGTTATCATGAAAATCTGTTACAGCAAGACATCTACAAGTCTTGACATTCGAAAATCTGAGTATGGGAGGGAGCTAGAGGTGACGGAGGGTGGGCGATCTTTGTTGGAGTAAATGGGATTGTGTGTAACAATGTAAGCGATATCCCGATATGGCCCGATTGGTTCACCCGTTTATCAAGCAAGTACAAAATAATGCTTTAATCGTTAGTAACGGATCGAGCCGATGATTAATAGGAAATAATATCAAGCCGACATTATAGGACGACATTTACGATACTAATATCCCGCTGATTACTTGTTGATAATAATTGATCACAAGCAGTGGAAAATAGTTCTTAATCACACCGTACGAGGAAATGGATTAACAGTGAATAGACTACGCTCCAAAAACACGCAGGGATTTACTTGAACATGTCAGTTTGCATTTACATCTATACGCTGACAGTATTAACCGCCTTCTACATTGCATAGATTGTACATTCACATTTGCAAGTAACCTAATCTTAATTTATTTGAAAAACAATTAATATCTTTGTGTTTGTTTACTTTTATGAGAAATAAAGAAATAAATAGTCATTTAGGTCGTATCTTACCACTTTAGGTCAGAACGCGTTGGGAAAAACACTTTGTCTCCAACATGGAGAACGTGCATACGACCGGGTCACTCATGACATGGGGTCCTTGTCAGTAGTTTATATTGCAACGTCTCGACCAGGAAGTGTTGGTAATGAAACGTTTATGTTATCATAAGGTCAGTACTGGTTGTACGTTTTGCAGACGCTTTCCAAAGCTTATCACTAAGTAGTTTGTCAGTTGTCAGTCAGTAACTAGAGACGAAGTACTATGCATTCGTGGGAGGTTTGTTGGAGACAGATATACCAGGTACTCCATACTAGATGCAGTACCAAATCGCATACACGTTTCCCCATACTAAGTGCTGTACCCGATCTCCTGCACTTCCTCCATACTGGATGCAGTATCAGATCTGCTACACGTTTCTCCATACTAAATGCAGTATCTGATCTCCTGCACTTCCTCCATACTGGATGCATTATCAGATCTGCTACACGTTCCTCCATACTGGACGCAGTGCCCGATTTCCTACACGTTCCTCCATACTGGATCCCAGAGCTCCTACACGTTAATAAATACTGAATGAAGTACCCGATCTCCTGCACTTCCTCCATACTGGATGCAGGACCAGATCTCCTACACTTACCTCCGTACTGGATGCAGTACCAGATGTACTGCACTTACCTCCATACTGGATACAGTACCAAATCTCCTACACTTCCTCCATACTAGATGCAGTACCAGATCTCCTACACTTACCTCCATACTGGATGCAGGACCAGATCTTCTGCACTTACCTCCGTACTGGATGCAGTAGCAGATCTCCTACACTGACCTCCATAGTGAATGCAGTACCAGATCTCCTACACTTTCCTCCATACTGGATGCAGTATCAGATCTGCTACACGTTCCTCCATACTGGATGCAGGACCAGATTTCCTACACATTTCTCCGTACTGGATGCAGTACCAGATCTCCTACACTTTCCTCCATATCGGACGCAGTACCCAATTTCCTAGACGATCCTCCATACTGGATCCCAGATCTCCTACACGTTAATCCATACTGGATGAAGTACCTGATCTCCTGCACTTCCTCCATATTGGATGCAGTACCAGGCTAGCTATTGTCGAAACCTTCGTAGCCTTACGAACGTCTTAAGCCCATTCTTAACACATTGGCTACGATAAAAGTTAAGAATTCTTAAGGCTACGAAAAAGGGCCCATATCTCCTACACTTACCTCCGTACTGGATGCAGTACCAGATGTCCTACACTTTCCTCCATACTGGATGCAGTACCCGATCTCCTACACTTACTCCATACTGGATGCAGTACCCGATCTCCTACACTTCCTCCATACTGGATGGAGTAGCAGATCTCCTACACTTACCTCCATACTGGATGCAGTACCAGATCTCCTACATTTATCTCCATACTGGATGCAGTAGCAGATCTCCTACACTTACCTCCATACTGGATGAAGTACCCGATCTCCTACTCTTCCTCCATACTGGATGCAGTACCAGATCTCCTACACTTACCTCCATACTGGATGCAGTACCAAATCTCCTGCACTTACCTCCATACTGGATGCAGTACCAGATCTCCTACATTTATCTCCATACTGGATGCAGTAGCAGATCTCCTACACTTACCTCCATACTGGATGAAGTACCCAATCTCCTGCACTTCCTCCATACTGGATGCAGTACCAGATCTCCTACACTTACCTCCATACTGGATGCAGTACCAAATCTCCTAGACATTCCTCCATACTGGATGCAGTACCCGATCTCCTACATTTACCTCCATACTGTCTGCAGTACCAGATTTCCTACACATTCCTCCATACTGGATGCAGTACCAGATCTCCTACACTTACCCCCATACTGGATGTAGTACCGGATCTCCTACACTTACCTCCATACTGGACACAGTACCAGATTTCCTACACACTCCTCCATACTGCCTGCAGTGCCAGATCTCCTACACATTCCTCCATACTGGATGCAGTACCAGATCTCCTACACCTACCTCAATACTGGATGCAGTACTAGATTTCCTACACATTACTCCGTACTGTATGCAGTACTAGATCTCCTAAATTATATCAATACATTACAAGTGATAAATATTTCAGTGCAAACACAGTTAAGGATCTTTTTAGCAGTATTAATTAAGTATTTAAGTTTAAGAAACTAATTGATACATTGTCATGGATATGTTTTGTATATAGAAATATATTTTATCATTGGTAGTTAAATTAGCATCTTCGATTGTTAGGGGCGGTATCCTCAAAGGAGGTTGGCATAACGTAAAATCATCAACCATTACTGGGGCACGATAACGTGGATTATGCAATGTCAGTTTTTTTTGTGTGTTTGTTTGTTTGTTGTTTAAAGCCACACTCAGGTTATATTACTGCGGTCTGTAGATAACCAAGTCTGGACCAGACAATCCAGTGATGAAAACCATATGCATAAATCTACGTAATTAGGTTACGCTGATATGTGCCAACCAAGACAGATAGCCTGACCACCCGATCTCGATAGTCGCTTTTTACGATAAGCATGGGTTGTAACCCTGATCTTCATGAGAAGCAATATTAGTGAGCCTGCCAGCCTGATCGTGTCACTATCACCCGACCACAAACATGCACATAGCCGGATCTTCACCGATAGGATCACATTCAAGTATTCGAGTCTATTATACAACGTGTCGCTCCTTTCACTGTAGCTCGTTGTATCGACCTTCTAGACAATATTACTATTGAAAACGTTTTGTCCATGACATACGCGCAGGCAGAAATAGTTCTTTTATCGTAGTGACATAAACATAGTTGGTGTATTGTTCACTTTTGTCCATTCACTGTATAAGAGGTTTATGGATGAGTGTAACTTTCACGTCCAAGAAACACATAAATATGTCCCGGTGAATATGTTGAGGCTAAACCACAGCGCGTGGTTGCGACTTTGTGTGAGTCTTTTACACCTTTTTAGTCCAACCATAGTATATATAGTTAAATATACCCCTTGCCCAACAGGTTAGTGATTGAAATGGATTTCTTTAATTCATAGGGGCAATTTAGTGTAATGTTGTATCAGGGCAAAACCAAAGGAGGTAAGGTTATATTCTATTTTACTGTTAAAATATATCAGATCATTTAATGCTGGCATGTTTTTTTATCGGTATCGGTGGTAGCTGATCCTGAGGACGACACATTTCGCTCGTCATGTCTGGAATGTGCCCGAGTGAAAATGCTTCATGTGTAGCCCGTCGGACAGGGCGGCATGCTTGATTCTATTCGCTTTGTTGTGTCATTCGGCATATTCCTCACAATGTGTTTAAGTGAGAAAATGAAATAGGAATGTCGCGTTATTTGTTATATGACTCCAGAACAACATACATAGGACTGATTAGTGTGATTTCTTTTCTTTGTTTGATTGTTTACACTAACGTCTTCTTGTAAGTTTTTTACACATTGTTGTTTTAAAACGTAAAAGATTACATGTTTTATTCCTTTTAGTTTAGTCATTACAACATCATCAACTGTGAATAACTGTGTCGCAGGATTGTAAGTCTTGCTTTAAGATTTTCCATAAGTGTGGCAAAACTCAAGGCCATAGTAACGTTTTCAAGTAAATGTTTCATGGTAAACATGTGGCGGACATTTCCACTGTTTTATCAGGTGCACAAGTGACCTGCCTCTGTATGTTACGTACTGATGCCCCCAGTGTGGGAGGTATATGTGTTTGCAAACACCTGGTTTAACCACTATTTGATGATGATTGATTCAATTGTTAGAATCGTACATATGACTCTACTTCCAGACGAGATTCTTTCTATCCTGTGGGAGCCGTCTCTTGCACACTTTGTAGTTCTCCCTACGTGCTTACTGAGGGAACAGGGAGTAAGTCAGCAGTTTATCTGTGTGTACATGTTGTCACGGATTTCGATTGTAAAACCGATATGTCAGTATTGAAACTGAAATAGCCGCACATTTTAGGAATACACAGAATAGTGACAACTAACTGCCATTATTTCTTTACATGTGTGATGATTGTTGGTTATGATTATACACCACTGACATCATCATATTGGTATGAGAGACGACTAAAAGGACGGGGTTGTCAAGCACGATTTTATGCTACTGTATCCCACTGATGTGGGTCAGTGCTCATTATGTCAATCACTGGTTCGTATGGTCCAGATGAGATCCTTTTACGATTCATTTTCCTGTAACTGGAATATTGCTGAATTAAACGAGAACAACAAAATATGCTTTGACAAGACAATTAGTTGTCTTTTGTAATTGTCTAATCTAAATCTCCGCGATATAGCTGGAATATTGCTGAGTGCGCCGTTAAACAACAAATAACAACAACTAATCTAAATCTACCCTCACATGATCTTTACCTCTAACATAGACCCTTAACTCTTCCCTAAATGAAATTAATTAATAGCCTGCTGTTATAAAAAGTAGTCCACGCTCATTGTTTACTTGCTGTAAGGAAATTGCTGTAGGAGCGGGAGGAAAGCCTGAACATGATATCGCCAGCGCCAAACGACGCCCGGTTGCGACTACTGACAAAAAACCGATTCCAGTTGCTGTGAAGGGCAACACTAGTTAGTTACACGGATACCAGAATAGACACATGTCGAAACTATTTTATCATTTATTTCTGTTGTCATTGGATGACAAACCCCCGACACAAACCTACCCACAGTAAGGTCTCTCATTTATCCTCCCATGCTCATACTAAATATGTCTGCTTACTGTTCAAGGAAATTGCATGATGGAAGTCGCTGTGGTTCATTATCAGAAATACGAAATTTAGAAATTCATCATTTGTTTTCATCTGACAGAGAATACGACTTCAGTCCAACACCATATGTGTTCGTAATGTTATGAGCTGAAAATCTGATGGCGTTTAACATTCAAATACTTGTAGCACATTCGGGGGCCTATAGTCTGACGTACCTACGAACAAAACAGATGTCAGTTTGTAAGAAAACACATGGATGTAAATCAAATCATCTGGACGGACTGTCTGTAATTTGAACATTAATATATTTCAATAATCACGGGACGAAAACAACCAAACATTTAGTGTCTTGCTGAAGAAAGGGACGAAACTTTTCAATAGTATCTTAACTTTCTCAAGCGGTCAAGGAACACAGCTTCAAGCCAGTTCAGTGCCTTTCTTCCAATGTCCATAGAGACAATTGAGAGTTATACAATGTTGTACACGTAAAGGCCGTCAAAGCTTGAACTTCCCCCTGAGGTACCAAACACACACAGCTCTTCGCCTGCTGACGGCGTTCTAAAGGTAAAATTAAACTCTTTACCTTCCTTTTCCTTAACTTGTTTGTTAACCATTAACGTAGTTAAACTGTCTGACCTCAGTTTAATTCGGACATCCTGATTGGCTGGAAGATCCCCCGAAAGAGGCTCGTGCAGTTGGCAGCCATACTTTTGAGCAGCGGTGTAGGCATTTGGGAAAGGAAGAACGTTGCTCACAGCTTTCTTGCTTTCGATCAGAAAATCGGCAACATCGTCCAGCGAAGATGATTCAGAGTTTTCGGGACGTTGTCCAAATAATGTTAGTTTGTAAAAGCCAACATGGGATACTCTTGCTTTGATGACGAGTGTGTTGCCTTCATAAAAACCAAACACATACCGATCCAGATCATGATTCAATTCTGCTTGGGCGAGACGCAGTGAAATGGGCACTAATTGTGACGTCTTTATACGGAGCTCTGCTTCGCCAGTCGATGTTGTAATCACATCCTTACCCAATATGTCGCTGGTGAAGCCATAGTGAATGGCGTCGTCACTTGCACCCCAGCATCCTTGCTTATCGGGGTATGGACGGATATCTTTGGCGACAGACTGACACCTCAAAACAAAGGTGATCATCCAGTTGTGTGTAGGACCTGATGACGAATCTGGCTTGCCATAAATACCAAAGTTGTATTTGCTTTCTTTCGGTGGTGTAATCTTTGCAGTATACTTGTCTCCCTGTTTCCTTAAGAGGACATACTGAGTGTATTCTTGTTGTGTGTTCTTCTCCTTTAGGTGGCACATTAATCCGCTGAGTTTCACATTTTGGGTTTTGAAGCTGATTTCACATTCCTTGTCCACTGTAATAACTTGGGTTTTGTGGCTTATACATTCAAACCTCCATTTGGTACCCTCGACCGTTGGACAAAGAGCATTGTTGAACTTCTCGAGAGTGTACGGGTTTTTCAGCAGCTGTAGAGGGATACTAGTTTCCACGTTTTTGTCAACATATGGGAAATGTTTGATGACAAAATCTTCAGGATCGGTGAGGAAATAGAATTCTTCAAATTTTTTCTCGTACGCACGGTTGTTTGTCATGTACCCTGCTCCCCAGGTACACTCAATAGGACGCCACTCACCCTGGACATACACAATGTTCCAGGCGTGGTCCGTTCGTGTGTTTAGGGTGAAGGGGCTTTCAGGGTCGTGGCCGAATGCCTAGGAGAAACCGGAGACCTTTTTGCAAGGTATCTTGCATTCGCTGGAATAAAGGTAAATTGAATTGTTATTCGCCTGTCTGTGAGGTATATACAGTTTTCCCAGATATTATTGAGAAACTCTTTGTATCTTAATAACCGATAATATAACTTTAATATAGTGTGTCGTTAGGTACTGAATATGGGAGGCAACTCTTGTAGGCTTCAGCATGAACCTTACTACAGTTTGTTGACACGGCAGATTTGACAGCAGGAGAGAAAAGAAAGCTAGTCTTGGATGATTGTGAAAGGTAACGTAAGTTATGATGTGGAGTTTGAAAATATAGGTATGTTTACGGAGGTTTACAGTGAAGGCTTTTATCGATATTTGCTTAAGTGAGAACAGCTCAACTCACAGTACTCAACCAATGTTTCAAGTGTCAGTTCAGCCTGGTAATGGTTAACTAAGCTAAACATTTCGAAACGTGTGTGTGCTTAAAGTTGACCTACTCGCAGAGGGATTGAAAGAGTGAGGCGTATCCTTCACAGACACTGGATCCTCGTTTCAGCACCGCTTCAGCGTCCTGAGGACCAGAATTGCCGCTAAAGAACCCGGATACGTCGTAACTGTCAACGAAATTCACAAAGAAGAATATGAAGTATAAATCATAAGCATAAATCATAAATCCTAATGAATAGATTCCTAACAGCACAATCTTGTACCAGGGGCGGTATTCATAGAGAAACTAAGATTTTTCCTAAGTCCAAACTTAAGTTTTTTAAAACTGACTTAGCTAAGTCTGAGACTTAAGATGCTATTCATAAAGCTACTAAGTCAGAAACTTAGCTAAGTTTCCAAAGACAAACTAAGTTTTTTTCGTAGTGCATACCCGCGTGATCACTAGGTGAATCCGAGTTATTTTTAGACTTCCGGCGGAACTCTTTTATAAAAAGGTGTGAAAATGGCTTTCGTTGGGATCTCCCTTTTGCTATTTACGGCAGACGACACATTGAGATACCGCGGTAATACATTGTGAAAAATATGTCGGAGTCTGAGATAAAGAAGAGAAAACCTAACTTGACTAAAGACGAGGTCCTGCTTTTGACAGAACTCGTGAAAACAAACGCCAGAGTGTTGGAAGGAAGTTTGGTCCGGGCGTGACGTCGGCGAAGCGGCAAGAGGCGTGGCAGGTAATGTACACATTGGGTCCGACTGTCAAGGTGTAGTCAGAAATGTCTTAGACTACGTGCCACACATAGTTTTTATTTGTTTTGAATAAGTACGATTTTCTGTTCTCTTTTCTGAATTACATTGGTACGCCTATGAAACAGCCCAAAATGCATCAAACTCTGGAAAAATGTAGTGAGTGTAGGTGATGATTAGCCGAGGTCACACGACGAAGGAAAGGAACATGTATGAACGAAAAAGGTTTTTTAAGCGAACATGACCTCATACAAATAAATAGTTTGATGAGGCTACAGCATGTAGTGTCAGGAATATTTGTAAAATTTCCTGTGTTTTGTTTACTAACAATGGAAAATTTTAAAAAATAGGAAATCCTACTTTATAATTTTTTATAGGAAATCCTAGTTTATAAATATATGGGGGCGGTGGGGTAGCCTAGTGGTTAAAGCGTTGGCTCGTCACGCCGAAGACCCGGGTTCGATTCCCCACATGGGCACAATGTGTTAAGCCCATTTCTGGTGTCCCCCGCCGTGATATTGCTGGAATATTGCTAAAAGCGGCGTAAAACTAAACTCAGTCAGTCAGTCAGTTATAAATATATGACTAAATATGAAAGCTTTGAGTGATATCTATTAAAGGAATTATCATCATAAGTGTAATCAACTTTAGAACAATTGATTTCAAGATTATACGGGAAATTAAAAAAATAGGAAATCCTACTTTTTATAAAAAAAATTAGGAAATCCTATTTTATAAAAATATCCTTTCTCCCAAATGCTGGCGACGAATCTAATGCCATTCCCATCTAGACGGTATCGCCGAATTAATTCTTCATCGCTGTATTCAACGAGACTTTGTCTTCTTTGGTGAAATGAACGACGCCTCAGCGCTACGGCAGCCATATTGTTTACTGACTTAAGTCAAACACCTTCCAGTTAAGCCTACCCCTGCCCAGTCTTAAGATTTAAGTCGGAAATCGCCAAAACTTAAGCCTAAGTTGCTTTATGAATATGACTTGAGTAAAATCTGAAAACTTAAGTCAGAAAAAGTGAAAAACTTAGTTTTTTCCAAAACTTAAGTCATATTTCAGACTTAAGTTCTTTTATGAATACCGCCCCAGGAGACATAATTGCACATCCCTGTGAAGACCCGGATGGGAGTTGGTCTCCAGCTACTCATGCTTATGGTTACATATGACTACAAGACCTAGTGGTCAGACTCGCTGATTTGCATGTCACCGCATCCCAAGGTATCCTCCCATTTGTCAGACATCCCAATAGTCAGACAGGTTAAAACAACAAACCATCTGGTTGAGTGCTCAGCTAATCCCCTGCCTGTTACCTCTAAATGAAATGGGAATGACCCATAAAATGCATAACAGAACAGTAGAGAACTCTATTACACTCAGGCCGATATCATTGACATATGAGGCACAAATGACAATATAATTATGATAATATTACGGAGGAATAGTTGTTAGCCGGACGATTTACAATTTGCATGATATATTTACAGAATTTACTGAGATTTTTCATAACAAATATCTTTTTACATGTAAAGAGTGATTTAAATTTTAACACATTTGGTCTCTTTGATAAAGGAAGGTGGTACATGTATATACATTGATATTTTTTTTCTAAAACATGTGCATTTAAGAATATAATGAAACTCATCACCCACATCATTCATAAAACATAATTTACTTTCATCTATTGGCATCCTATTCCATCTTCCTTTTTCAACTGGTAAATGGTGGGGTGGAGTACGAAAATTCAGTAAGGTGTTATGTACATTTTCGATTCGTTTTAAATTAACATATTTCCAAATTTCACAATCGTACAACAAGATTGGTTCCGCCATTGAATCAAAGAGATATGGTTGGCATTGTAATGATAAGTTTACCATTCGACTTCTGCGTAAAACAAAATACATGGCTTTAGTAGCTTGTTGTGAGAGATTTGATATAGATAATTTGAACGAACATTTTCTATCAAAAATAACTCCAAGGTATTTGTACACAATAACAGTTTTCCTTAGGTTCAACTAACTGGTTGAAATATCCAATTGGGACATTCCCATTTATATATGGTGTTGCCCTAATTAATCCCTAGTCCAGTGTCTGACAATTGGGATGTCTAACTAATGGGAGTAAATCCACCCCAAATGTCAATCACTGTTGTGTCTGTACCATACCCAGTTTACAACTGCAATAAACACCAAACCACAACCCCACACAACACGCCTTTACCGAACACACCTGATATTGTCAGCAATCCATCTGTAGAAGGCCCGGACTTTCTCCATGTTATTCTTAGCTGGTTTCATCAGATACTGTGCTAGGGAGGTCACGGATGACCGGACACTGTGTGGAGCCTGGACAAAGTGTAAATTCAGTTACATCACACTTACCCTTACAGTCAACAGGCCAACAAAGTTTTAGATTGGTGCCTACATATATCAGTAATCACTGTCATTGAGATAGCCTTCCAGAACAAAGGAATATCATTGTACCTGTTATCAGTAATCGGGAATTCTATTAATTCTTCAGTTTCAGTTTCAGCCTGTGCATAAACTGTTTGCACTATGCAAGGGCCTAAAGTCACCAAGTCAATTTTCCAAAGGGCCGCTTTACTGCTCTGTGTCCGCTATTTTGGTGTCCGATTTCAATAATCGTGACCTGTTATCTTTCAACCCAAGCTCGTGTGAGCGTTCCAATATTTCCTACCCAGATAACAACGACACCAGTGAAATACTGATCAAAGCTACAACCCCCAACCGAATCACCTTGTACCGGTCTGTAATTAAAACAAGCTGGTTGTCTTTTGTATGTAATATTCTCTTCTCCGCTTTACAGGTAAACCAATCTGACAGATCCTGTACCTGTTTGTCCTTTAAATGTGTATTTACCTACACTGTTTCTGGCAGTGAGTGTGTTACACCCACTCTGTGCAACTGCCAGTTGCGTCCATTGTCCAGGCCGTTTGCCCAAAGTATGCAATGTGCATTACAATGAGTAGTCGCACAGATTGGGTGTTGCATATATACGGCTAAATCCAAATGACTCACTTGAATAGTTTGTCTTCTAACAAAATGTCACGCTTAACGACCGTTGCTGTGCTAATGTAAACGTTTTCCGGTTGTTGTACCTGCTTTTCTTCTGAAGTTATGACATACGCAGCTGCCGCTCCAGGTAAAAGTAGTAAAATCTAACTGACGGATCATCTACCTGATCGACCTTTGTAAGGTTTTTGAAACGTAACCGCAGCTACAGGTAGTGCGCAAAATATTCCTGACAGAGGTCATAACCCGTAAGCCCATAATAAACTGTCCATGTCTGCCCAGCCACAATGACTGAAAACATTTATTCCTGGCAAATTAGAGATGCGCATCATAACTCGAACATCCGGACTAGAAATAATGAAGCAGTGGTCATATTGGTCTTCAACACTCTCAAATACTAATACCACAGAAGGTAGGTAAACTGGCCGGCATATTTTAACACAACATCTTGCATACAGTCATGTCAACACACCCTCTGTCGATTCTAACCTTCAATGCGTGCGCATCAATAACAGCAAACGCTTCCGAAGAAGGTACTGTGTCTTTCTTCTTCTTTTGGGGAGGTTTAACTGGAGGGTTGGGATCGTTGCTTGTGGGTTCTGCTCGGCCGGAGGCTGGTTCGTCCACGCCGACTGTTTTCGATTGAATGCACCCCATTTTTAAATCTGAAACCAAGGAAAGCATGCCACAGTTCAGCGTAGTCAACCATAGTCCACATAGTCATAGCGTCTGTATGGCCATCTGAATAAAGAGCCAGGTCCTCCAGTCAGTACATCCAGATGAATCCCCAGCACACCCTACAATTAGTACATTCAGCCTATTGCCCGGCCACATCCTACAGTCGGTACTAAGGGTTGTATCCCTAGTCCATATCCTGCAGTCAGTACACCCAGCTGAATCCCAAGCCACTTCCTAGTCAGTACATCTAGCTGAATCGCCAGTTACACCCCACAGTAAGTACATTTTGCTGAATAGCCAGTTACATCCTACAGTCAGTACATTTTGCTGAATCGCCAGTTACATCCTACAGTCAGTACATTTTGCTGAATAGCCAGTTACATCCTACAGTCAGTACATTTTGCTGAATCGCCAGTTACATCCTACAGTCAGTTCATTTTGCTGAATCGCCAGTTACATCCTACATCCAACTGAATCCACGACCACCTCCTACAGTCAGTACATCCTAATGACTCCCCGACCACATCCTACAGTGAATAAATCTAGCTGAATTCCCGGGAACATCCTTCAGTCAGTACCTCTAGCTGAATCCCCAGTCACACCCTACAGTCAGTACATCCGGATGATCTTCAGTCACACCCTACAGTCAGTACATCCAGCTGAATCATCAGTCACACCCTACAGTCAGTACATCCAGCTGAATCATCAGTCACATCCTATAGTCAGTATATCCAGCTGAATCATCAGTCACACCCTACAGTCAGTACATCCAGCTAAATCATCAGTCACATCCTATAGTCAGTACATCCAGCTGAATCATCAGTCACACGCTACAGTCAGTACATCCAGCTGAATCATCAGTCACACGCTACAGTCAGTACATCCAGCTGAATCATCAGTCACACGCTACAGTCAGTACATCCAGCTGAATCATCAGTCACACCCTAAAGTCAGTACATCCAGCTGAATCCCCAGTCACACCCTACAGTCAGTACATCCAGCTGAATCATCAGTCACACCCTACAGTCAGTATATCCAGCTGAATCATCAGTCACACGCTACAGTCAGTACATCCAGCTGAATCATCAGTCACATCCTATAGTCAGTACATCCAGCTGAATCATCAATCACACCCTACAGTCAGTACATCCAGCTGAGTCATCAGTCAAATCCTATTGTCAGTACATCCAGCTGAATCATCAGTCACACCCTACAGTCAGTACATCAAACTGAATCATCAGTCACATCCTATAATCAGTACATCCAGCTGAATCATCAGTCACACCCTACAGTCAGTACATCCAGCTGAATCCCTAGTCACACCCTACAGTCAGTACATCCAGCTGAATCCCCAGTCACATCCTACAGTCTGTACATCCAGCTTAATCATCAGTCACATCCTATAGTCAGTACATCCAGCTGAATCATCAGTCACATCCTACAGTCAGTACATCCAGGTGAATGCCTAAAAGTTAAACTGCGCATGGTATATCAGTGCATTAGCACAACAAGATCCGACATAAGTCCGAACGAGGAAAAGGAGACACACAAAGTTATGCAAGTGTATATAATACAATAAATGACTGGACATGAGCATGATCATAAACCCCATTGTACCTTACCTCTTCTTGTTTTCAAGGCTTATCATTTTAAAGCCAACTTAAGGTGCGTTCACACGTTGCAACTAGTTTGTTACAACACGTTGCATACAACAAGTTGCACGTCTTGAGTTGCGTTCACACACAGGCCAAGTTGTATACAATTTTCGGTATCGTGAGATCTCGTTTTACATGTTGCTTAGCAACGCACTGTAGAAACTAGCATACGGTCATGGCGTCCCTATACAACAGCGATAGTGATGACGATGTACTGGAAGCGGCGGTTGTCGCAATGCTCGTTGATTTTAACCATGGCAAAGCCGACCGTTCGTGCTGGGTCCGTCCCCTGGATTGCAAGAAGAAGTGATCTAGGAGCTTATAAAGCTTTAATGAGGGAACTTGAAGCTGAGGACACAAAACGTTTTGTCAATTTCTTACGCATGGACAGAGAGAGTTTTGATCAACTGCTGGGCAGAGTGTCACCGATGATAACCAAAGCTGATACACCCATGCGTGATTCTATACCCCCTGGAGAAAAACTCGCCATCACACTTCGATATTTGGCCACAGGTAGGGCTATGAACAGTCATAATTTCATGAATTATAGTTAATGTATCACACAGATCACCTACTGTTTGTCGATCAGCTGTTTTGTGTTTATCAATAAGCGTGGCAATCTATAAATAAACCAACCACTCCTGACTGCGTTAGCACCAAATGCTTCAGTGCAAAGCCGCTGTCCCTAACCCTGTAAAGAGTTGAATGAGGCTCCCGAAGGTGTGCCACATGTATACGCTCAAAAACTTTTTGATTATTCAGAATGAATCATCTGTGTGTTTTTTTTTTTATTTAGGTGACAGTTACAAGTCTCTAGAATTCTTGTATCGGGTACCAAAGAACACAATTTGCAATTTCGTCCCTCAAGTGTGTGTGGCAATTTATGAAACTCTCAAGAAGGACTTTCTGAAGGTGAGGTGCATGTCAACACTTGAATTCTTGATATTTTTTCCCCATGTTTAAACGATGACTAAATAAATCAATAAGCTGTAATGAAACACAATTTGTATTTACTTAAAGGTTTAACTTCTGTAGTTCTGTGTAAAAGTTATTATGACTTCATGACTTTTTTTCAGATGTCCAAGCATTATGAGGAAAAGGAATAAATCCCATGTGATTTATCGAAATAATAATATTCATACTCATCAGCTCAAAGCACTCTTGTGTAAACATAATATTATATAAGATAATTTTTTCACCTGTAGGGCTTTGTAATGAATCGGTTTGCTTCACTTGGTGTAAAAATCTACATAAATTACTGTAACAAAGCTAGCACACTCCCAGTGATATTTGAACACCACTCACACTGAAGTACAACAGAAAAGCCTTAATAACATGAATTATAATTTATTATTTAAACTGGCTGACAAATGTCTTGGGAAAAAGCTTTGCAGCTGACCTGAAATACATATTCTTTGCATATATTACGATTTCAAGTCAAGAGCTTCATATAATTGTCTTAATGAGTCATCATTAAGGACAGATGGCATGTGCATAATACATATAAAATCTTATTCTTCATTTTGATATTCAAAAATAAGTTGTTGAACTTTAATTTTCAATTCATTCCTTTTACTTAGATTGGAAATTCGGGCAATCTCTGATGCCAAATATTTGGCAAAACATAGTTCTCCATTATTTTCACTTTGTGATCTTCTGTTTTCAATTGACTTAAGAGTAGCCAAAACTTGGAGGGGAACACTGTCCTGTCGCTTTCTTTTAGATGGAGGTGGTGGAGTACAATCCATGGTTTCAGCCTGCACATTGTCTGGTTCCACATTTTCCTCCTCTTGAACCACTTGTTCCACTTGACTGGGTCCATCCTGCTCAGTTGACAGTGTGTTGGTTTCCTGTCAGATAAAGTTGGTATTGTAAGTATATGGTATTATTTTCGAAAAATATATTTTTAAAATATCTCAAATTGATTTCAGGTGCCACAGTCAGAAGAAGAATGGCTGCAAGTCGCAGAGGGATTTGAGGAGAAGTGGCAGTTTCCACACTGTATTGGTGCTTTGGATGGAAAGCATATATCTATAAAATCACCTGCCAAATCAGGATCACTCTACTACAACTATAAAAACTTTTTTTAGCATTGTACTCCTAGCTCTTGTTGATTCTAACTACAGATTTGTGTATGTAGATGTTGGTGCAAATGGTAGGTCATGTGATGCAGGTATATTTGCCAATTCATCACTGTATCAGGCACTGAACAGTAACTCCTTGAAAATTCCAGGTCCAAAGCCATTGCCTGGAAGATGTCTTGATACTCCCTATGTGATTGTTGGGGACGATGCCTTTCCACTAAAAGATAACATCATGAAGCCATATCCCCACCGGGACTTAGTTATGGAAAGGAAAGTATTCAATTACAGACTTTCCAGAGCCAGACGTGTATCAGAAAATGCTTTTGGTATACTGACCAACCGCTTTGGAGTATTTCAAAGGAGCTTATCATTAACACCTGAGACATGTACAAAGGTTGTTCTTGCATGTATTGCTCTACACAACTTTCTGTGTACAACAAAAGACAAAAAATACACAGAAACAGAAGTTTTTCCACTGGATAATGGAAGCAGGCCCCAATCACTACTTCAACAGGGTGGCAACAGGAGTGCCGATAATGCAAGGCAGATTAGGGAAGAATTTGCAGATTATTTCTGTTCTAATGGCCAAGTTGATTGGCAGTGGGATCACATTGTCTGATTCTATGTATGAAGTCAAATGAAGTGTTCATATGGAACAAGCTATTTTCAGCCATACCTGCAGCTATTTTCCAATTCCAATACAGTAAAATGGCACTTATTATTGTATTATTCATGTTCAGCTTATGTCAATGCCGACCGTAAGTTGTTTTATGTAATTAATAAAATTTTGCAATATATATCTATCCATACCAATGGATGTACAAGGTTTATTAAAAGTTTACATTCTCACAATACTAACCAAGTTACTTATAGTTGTTTTTTTGATGAACCTGGCTTCTAAGAAAAGGATCCAACAGCTTAAACCATTCCCAGGTAGACTCATAGATATCATCTCGACCAGCCCCACTTTTCCGGGAGAGGGTTTCCTTCCTTAGTTCCTTGCAATAGTAGGTCCGCAGAGCAGAAATCTTAACTGGGACCTGATCCGCTATAATGAAAAAATGAAATTAAAATATTTTCATTTGACATATAATCATGATAAATGTATACTTTAATGCAAACATTTGTGTAACCTAAAAAATATGCCTATTTTCACTTTTTACCCTGACCATGCTGACAGATCTCCAATAATCATGATAATATAAAATACTGTAGATGTTCCAATGAATATTGCTGTAATGCTCAACTACTACTGATAAAAAATATCACTAAAATGTTAAACTTTAAAATAATACATGTATAGTTTTTGCCCAAAAGAGTGAGGCACTTTTATCGTTGATTAAAATTCAGATTTGTCTCACTTTTTTGGGGGTGGGGGGTGTGGGGGTTTGGAGCTATACATCATGTTAATACTCAAAAATAGTTAAGTTTAATAGGAAAACGTCTTTTATAGAAAATTTATAGGCCTAAACGTCATCATTGGTTGAAAAACAGTCAGAAGAATGTCCAGTTATCTTATGTTCATATTTAAAACCAATTTACTTAACATGATTAAACATGAACAAGAAATAAATTTAGAATAAACATTTAATGTAAATATTCAAGACCAACTAATTACCCCCGGTTGAAAGCCTCACCAAATATAGGTCATTCTGCGAGAACCACGTAAACTGACAGATACTCGGTCAATGTTTTCGGTAAAATGTTGCGTTATTATAATAAAATGAAACCTTTATAAATGGATCTTTTCATATTGTACATATGTTTTATTTACCAAAAAACCATCAACAATGCTTCTAAATTGCCTAAATTTGTACTGATAGCAGGCTGTGGTTCAATGTTTGTGTTTTGGTTGTACAGTCAGACCTCGTCTATCCGAACTTCCGATGAATGATCGAGATTATGGATCGTGACTCTGGTTCGCCATCGATGATAATGTGGGCGATACTTCATGACCAAATTTAGGTAAAGTCATACTAAATTTGTTAAGCAAAGGAGTAAGATTACTTTATCAAATAGAAGCACGTCGAATATATTTCTGTCACTCACCTGTCATAACACCGTTCATCAGTTCGGAAATGGAAACGTAGGCGGCCTGTCTGTGTTCCCGTTTTGAATAAAACGAACTAGACACATTCCAAAGACACTCGTGGGAATGGTAGTACGAAATAAACCTTTCAATGTCATGGTTGCTGAGGTCAATTCTTTCTTTAACATTTTTCCGGCGTTGTTGTGTCGTCCGTTGTTGTGGTATCGCCATGTTTGATGTCTGCGTAAATATAACGTGACTACGAAACGCGATCTGATTGGCCAGAACCGTACAACTTGTCGCATGGAAATAGAGCAAGTTCTATTCCTTGCAACTCGCTTGCAACTTGTTGCATGCAACAAAAATCTGTCCAACTCCCCTGTTCACACTGTGAAATTTGTTGCATGCCACAAGTTTTATACAACTAGTTGCAACGTGTGAACGCACCTTTACATGAACTTACATAAATTGAACAGAAAGCCCATGTCATTATAATATGAGTATGTTCATCATGCTATTTCATTGACAGAATATGCAACCCGGAAACAAACACAAATGCAAATATAAACAATAATAACCGTGCTATGACACGACATCTGTTTGCTGCTGTTCAGCCCGCGAAGATCAGCAACCTATGATTGTCGTAACAAGATCACTATCAGGATCTGGGTTGTTGGTTGGCTCGCTGACTTGGCTGATGCATGGTATCGTATCCCAACTACTAAGACCCATGCTCAAGTAGTCTGTAACTGTTGCATGTTGTTCAGACAACCACTAACAGACGGCAGACACATTGATCTAACATAACTGAACGCACATATCAAGATGAGTTACACATAGCCAATGTAGGTTGTCACTAGGGCTGGGACGGGTAGGAAAAAATGGAATCGAGTACCCGCATGTACCTACCCGAATCGGAATCGAGTACCCGTAAATGTAAGGAATAAAGCGCTTCTGTCAACTTTCTGAATATCCAATCACGAGTTGACAGAGATTTTTATAGAAAAACTTGAAATGATGTCAATAAGACACTGAAACTGAACATGGGCTATTTATTTTACGTCTGTCTAACCAGGGAGACTATATGTGTTGTAGAATACAGAGAGTAACACCATTACCGCTGTTACTGTAACTTGACCTCACTGCTCATGCTCAGATATATTACAGTCGTTAATAATAACCTCCATTAATCGGACAATGTCAATGATGCAAATGTGTGTTACGTCAATAATGAAAAAGACAAGTTATTGTCTGCCCTTGCCATTACAGAGTTCTCTCCTTTTCCGGGTACTCGATTCCTAGAAATAGGACTCGATTCCAGGTGTACCCGACCCGGATTCGAGTACCCGAGTACCCGTCCCAGCCCTAGTTGTCACGGTAGTCGAACATGAATTTCCTCTGTGTAATTACGATAGCCGTCAAGGGCACGATTGATAACACGTAATAGTTTAGTCAACCGAACATCATGGCGACACGAACAAACTTGCTGCCTGCTGCCGCTTATCCTGACAGACGTACCTATTTAAGAACCCACTATTCGACAATAATGGGGATACATTACCTTATGTTTGCGTGGCTCGTGTAGACTGAGATGTTTATGACATGATCCTCAATAGGAAAGCTCAGCGTGGAGGAAGTGTTGTCATGATAGGGAAGATACACACTCACGCACATTATCGTGTTACGTCCATTAGAGTGGAAGTCGACCTAATGCAGCTTAGACATATAATCTTAAACCACAGTCAGGAAAACACACAGGGAGATATCTGGGTCTTGGTGACACGGCAATAAAGTATATCACCATGACAATTATTGTTACAGTTAGGAAATATTATCGAGTATTCTAAGATGCTTTGCTAAAAGATCAAAGGCACCGACAACACTTTATCTGGTATCAGGTACACTTTATCAGGTACAATTTTTGCATGTCGTCACACTGTGTTGACGTCACGACGCCATTCTCGTCTGCCCCCTCGTTATCAAAGTGACCGACGTCACGATGCATGTCAGTTGCCATCGCCTCGTATTGCCTCCAACTTTAACTATAATAGTTCAGGACAAAGGTGTGCTTTATGACACTATACATGGTGTTAGAGCGAACTGTATTTCTTACTAAGTTGTTATGTACGGATATGATCTTGCTTTGAATAGACTTACACAGTGTTTACACTTATCATACGTTCATTAAGGTAAAAATCAATAGTGTGAATTACAACACTGAGAATCCCTCTATGTCAGAGACTAAACTCACACATTAACTTGCCAAGCATGAATACTTTGTAATTCTAAATAAAATAAATGATGGTTTATTTTCAGAATTCCGTTTTGTATTCATACAAATACTGAACATTTACGAGATTGATGTGGAGAACGACAGAATTCACACTGATCAAGTAACAAGAAGAGTTTCCAACCGTCTCGACTGTAAAATGTAAAATTTACAGTTTATTACGAAACGTTTTCAACTAATAAACAAACAGTAAGAATCGACATTCACTACACACATGGTCAGCTGGTTTTATATAACTGATCAATAGCTAGAGTATGTACAGTTTATGTATATTTTATGTACGGTTTATGTACGGTTTATGTACGGAATCCTCTGAGTAAATGCGTCGTCGGTCACAAAGGGTTATCGCCTGATCATTTCTTGCAAAACCAACTTCTTTTTTGTGAAAGCTGGATCTTGATATTTTAGTGATTGTATTATGTGACAGAAAGCTGATTATGTGACTTTGATCCGCTGCTTAACGGAATTCTTGTAAGAAAATGATTCAATAAGTGTGTGCAGTGAAATATTAACTCGCTGTTTACAGCAATAAAAAAACAAAACAATTTTGTCGTCAGAAAACACGTCTTTCACATTTTGGCATACAATAAATACATAATACCTAGCTGTATACATACCTAAGATACTTCAACCCTGAAGCCTGAAGGTATTTCCGACCTATTGCAGAAGATACATGTCACACGGGGTATTAATGGTATTAACAAATGCCTGATACTTATGCGAAGCGATCGACCTGTGCACTAGGTCTGAGTTGTCACCGCGGTATCCAACAAACACGCACCGACACTGGGCCAGTGGCAAATACGCCAACAGTGAACCCGGATGCACACAAACAGTCAATAGATCAATAAGTAATTGAAGTAGGAACAGTCCAGGTTAATTTCAAATTCTGGCAGCGACTCGTATAAAGATCCCTGAATAGATAGTGTCTGAATGGTTGATATTGTTACCTATAGATATGTTGCATACATCTATTCATGATCCACCCTTTGGTGCTATCATGGAAATCTGCAACAGCAAGAAATCTACAAGTCTCGGCTTTCGGAAATCTGAGTATGGCTGATAGGTGGTGGTTGTGGTGGATGGTGGGAGATCGGCGTTGGGGTAAATGGGGTTGTGTGCAACAATGTAAGCGATATCAATGCCCGGTTTGGTTCACCCATACACATACAAAAGAATGCTTTAACCGTTAGTAACGGACCGAGCGGAGGGACGATATATTCAGCTGCCTCTACAGCCAGTGTAGGACCAACGCAAATCCATTTCTCATCACAGTCGGGTCCCTGGAACCAACATGTGATATGTCTTCCGTAGTTACTATGGATGTTCATGTAGTGTTCACACCTAACATTCCGAAAGATAGGCATGTGTCGAACACCCATAGTCTCGTGTGTAGAATATACAGCCAATGAACGATAGGGATCCGAGCACTTGAATGTTATCAATAAGATGTACATTACAATACTGTGGAGTTGATTATGAACGTACGAGTTTGCTTTCGAAAAAAAACCAAAAAAACTCATGGTTCATTCCCGAAATTAATGTTACAGAAATTCATCTCTTTTCGCCTAGACGGGGCGGTGGGGTAACCTAGTGGTTAAAGCGTTGGCTCGTCACGCCAAAGACCCGGGTTCGAATCCCCACATGGGTACAATGTGTGAAGCCCATTTCGGTGTCCCCCGCCGTGATATTGCTGGAATATTGCTAAAAGCGGCGTAAAACCAAACTCATTCAGTCACCTTGGCGAATGGATGAATTGATTGATGGATGGACGGACTGACTGCGGGATGGATGTATGGATGGATGGACGGGCGTATACATGCACGCTAAAGCGATGGGATTACTAGGAATTGTTATCATTTGATATCTAGGACGACATTCACGATACTAATGCTCCGCCGATTACTCGATGACAAAAATTGATAACAGTGGGAAATAGTACTAAATCACACCGCAGGAGGACATGGATTAGCAGTGTAGACACTAAGCCCAAAAACCCACAGGGGTTTACTTGAAATGATCAGTTTGTGTTTACATATATAACACACAGAGACAATATTAACAGTCTTTTACATTGTATGGATTGTAAAAGTAAAACTTATAAACGTGTTACACATACACATTCACATTTTAAGTAACCTAATCCTAATTTAAGAATTGAAAAACAATTAATATTTGTGTTTCGTTTTACTATTGTTAGTATACAGAAATGAAACGTCATTTGGGTCGTATCTTACCAGTTTAGATCAGAACGCAGAGGGAATACACTTTGTCTCCAACATGGAGAACGTGCTTACGACCGGGTCACTTATGACATGCGGTCCTTGTCAGTATATAGCAACGTCTCGACCAGGAAGTGATGGCAAAAACAAACACGTATCTTATCACAAGGTCAGTACAGATATTAGTATGTGATAAGCTTATCACTAAGCTGTTGTCCGTGTTCATCCGGTTACATGTAACAACAATCGAAAAATAATGCATTCGTGGGAGGTGTGTGCTTCGGGTTTAGATTTCAGAGGGACGGATCGAGGGTGATTGGTCATAGGTGTTATGGAACACCTTGGCTCACTCACTCACTCACTCACTCACGCATGTTCACCTACATTGTCCGGTGTTCATGTCGTCGTGGGAACGTCAATGTGACAAGAGTATGTAAATGAGTGAGTGAGTGAGTGTAGTTTTACGCCGCACTCTAAATTGAGCACTGACGGTCCCACATACTGTCGTTTTATGTTCACGATAAAAATGTGTTTTGGTAGCTTTAATCCACTGTAAGAATCCGTATTTAACGTAAGTTATAAGATTTTGATTTGTTTGTTGTTTAACGTAGCAATATTCTAGCTATATAGCTGCGGTCTGTAAATAATCGTGTCTGGACCAGACAATCCAGTGATCAACAGCATGAACATCGATTAATTCTAACCCGGATCTTAGGGTCGAGACAGGAGTAAGGATGTACATAGAGCCGAGGGGCGTAACTCTAGTCAAGGGCACTCAAGGCAGGTCTAAGGCACTCCCACACCGGACTGTGCATGCCCTCGACCAGACAATGCAGTGACTGATATTGTGGAACCGTTAGGAATACATAGTGACATTTTGAAGGATCGATCAAAAGATCTAAATCGATTAAGTAAACAGAGCCTGACTAACGATCCATTTAGTCCTCTCTAACACGTATTGGTATGTTGAACCATAAATGCAAACCACGAGCATAGGTCTTATTCTGGGTTCGAACTCAGTCATACGATTTCACAACGAATAAGGCACGTCTAACTGCGGCGCTATCGTGATATCACAATTCAAATATATTCCTCTAATGCTGTTTATCTTTATCAGGTAGATGTTAGAAGTTCTACCACGTATGCCCTCTGTGTCAATTTGCCCACTGTGTCAACGCCTCAAAGGCTGTATAAACCGTGTGACCGCCTCCGTGGTGTAGTGGTTAGAGCGTCCGCCCGGAGAGCGGAAGGTCGCGGGTTCGATCCCCGACCGCGTCATACCAAAAGGCGTTAAAATATCGTACTTGTTGGTCCCTGCCTGGCGTTCGGCATTTATGGGTATAACAAGGACTGGTCGGCTCGGAGTCAGTATAATGTGTCTGAGCGGGGATTCATGCTTCACTGCGGCATGGTATCTCAGTGGGCTAGCACTATAAAACCAGCTTAAGTCTTGGCTAGTACAAGCAGCCGCACATACACATACACACGCATGCACGTCGTCATATGAGTGAAATATTCTCAAGTACGACGTAAAACCCAATTTCACCTCACCTCACCGTATATACCGTGTCCATCTACCAGCTCGACCACACCACACTAGCGCAGACGCTGCGGTAGTATGCTATTTATTTTAATAGCAAGTAAAGTGATGTAGTGGTTTAAACTATGTCCTGTTGATACTGAGTGTGGGTCTGTGTGATAAGATGTGAGTGCTTTGCTGATTGTTTATTTTCGTGTCGGTGAATGTTAATAATAATTAATAATATAAACAGGGCCAACATCACTCTACAAGGTCAGGGTTATTGACAGACGCGCAGCCCTACACTGTGAGCATACATAATTTACTGTTTATGAGTAAGAAACGCCGATAAGTCCTACCACCATTAATTTGTTGTTTATTTTCATATGGTCCAAAATTGCATAATGATATAAACTGACACGACGCCGAAGTGAATATTTTAATTACTCTAAAACATTGTTTCTCGAATTGGAGACAAAGTTCTTTTCGCCATATATGATGACGTCACATCGCCAGGATGGCCTTTCATAACAATGTTTTCAATACAGGGTTCACTACCTCGAAATCACGACGTATTATTAATACAGATCCTGATATTTCTTACGATGGGTCATCTGGCTCGTACAAGATTCTTCAAATTGCTCCACAGTCTCTATCTAACTAGCAGTGATTTACTCGTCTACATGCCCAGTAAATGCGACACGCCAACGCCGAGGAAAATCATCTCGATTATCCAACAAAACAGATTATATTTGGCTTAAAAAGCACAACAGCGTTGAAAATGACATTATTATACATCAATGGACATCAGCGAACTGTTCAGGTGATCGCTCAAAAGGTAAGCATGTATCGCCCTACTATTAAACAAGCTAGTGACATACGTTTCCATTTCAGCTTCGTATTGCCAGAATTGTTGATTGAATGATTGACGTCCATCGCCTTCGAGGTACAGTGACCGATTCTCTATTTCCTTTCTAGTCAGCTCGTGCAAATGCCATCAGTTACAATTCTGAACACTGTCTAACGTTTTTCAAGCACCGAAAACCAAATATTTCGTCTAAGGAAAGCTCAACACAGTCATGACGTCAAGACTTCGCCCGTTCACAAGTGTCAACCTATTGTGGTATTAGAGTAAACCTACACTGTACACATCTGCATTTCAGTGGAATACATTTCGAGTAACAGTTCGCACGTTACACACACAGGAACTTAAAGAGACTATTTAAGTTCCCTGATTCTTCCGAGCTCCCATACACTGTAACGGAATCCCCCTTTCTTGGAGCATTAAAGGTGACGTCAAACTCGTCATTGTCTCCCTTTCTGTACAACTTTTTGTTGATCATTATCCGTAACACACTTTCTGACGTCATGCGCAGTCGGACTGTTTGATTGGCTGGAATATCACCACAGAGAGGCTCAAGCAGCACGCAGGCATAATCATTGGCTGAGGTGAAGTTTGTAGGGAAGGATTTGATTCCTGGCATATCGGTTTTACTTTCAATGAGCATGTTACCCATATGATCATATGATGCCCCACCATCTGCATCAGGATGCTTCGCAAATACAGACAGTTTATAAAATCCTGACTTTGGAAATCTGATTTTGAGAACAAGAATGTCATTTGTGATGTAGGAAAATACGTATCGGTCAATGTCAGAGATATCCTTCTCAGAGTGAGACAGCCTAAACGTTGTCGACACAGTGGGATCCACCGATAGCTTCATCTCTACCTCAGCATCACTTGTCGTCAGGGAACTCTGGGAGAATATATTCGATGGAAATCCGTACTCCCTAGCAATCTGTTTTATTCCCCATGTTCCATAATTGTCTGGATACAGTCTTAGATCTTTACACGGATCTGAACAGCCTAGGAGATAATGGCCAATATGGTCCGTGCTGTCTTTTGTTGTTTGGGTAAGGTCTTTTGCAAATACGTTCAGCTTGTAATATCCCACTTCCGGTAGACGCGCGGAGATATGTAGACAGTCGTCTTGAACATAGGCCATCAGCAATCTGTCTAGGTTGGCAGGTTTAGCAGTAGCATGCTCCAGCCTAAATGACACGGCTATGTTAGGTTTGACTTTGAACTTCATGCTAATATTGCCGTTTTCGGAAACAAGGATGTCTCCGGCGTAAGGCACCGACACAAATCCATATTTGGTTGCTCCTGGGAAAAGGCCCCACGTGGAGTGCATTGTGGGATACGGGAGGATATCTTGATTGGAGTCCTCGCTTTCGATGAGAATATCCCCTAGATGATCACGTTCCTTTGATGAGACAGCGACGCTTTGAGCAAATATTGTAAATTTGTAATACCCCGACAGAGGAAAACGAAACTTTACATTCAGCACTCCGTCTTTTATAAATGCCATGAAAAATTGTGTGAGGTATTGTCTTTTGTCTTGAGAATGAACCAGATGAAAGGATGGGTTAACATCTGGTTTAACCATCATGTTTATTTCAGTTTTTCCACTTTTTGCTTTAACCAGATCAATTTTGCAAGCGTCCAACTTGAAGCCATACGTTTCCAGATCGGCTTTAAAGCCCCATGTCCCCGTGTGTTGTGGATAAGGCTTCACGAGCTGGAACACTGAGTGGCAGCGTATGGTGTAGGTCATGAGACACTTATTCTGAGTGGCGCCTGGCACTTTCCCGAACAGCAGCAATTCGAACTTACCCGTAACGGGAGGTGTTACCTTAATAGAAAAACAACCACCGGGTGTCTTCCTCAGCAGCACATGTTCTGTTAAAGATTTCCCCGTTGATTTTTCTTTCAAGTCACACAATAAATCGTGTAAGGTGACTCGTGTGGTTGCAATCCGGATTTCACATTCTTTGTCCATATCCACCACCTGACCGTGGGTTTTGGACTCGTATCCCCACTTGATTCCCTCCACATGAGGACATATTGCACTTGAATATTCCTCAATCGTTAAAGGTTTAGCCAGCAGCTGATAGCAGTGACTTTTGTCGTGGTCTTTGTCTATATACGGGAAGTGTTTAACCACAAAATCATCAGGATCGGTTAGGAAATGGAATTCATTGAACTTTTTAATGTATTTAAACTTCTCGCCTATGGACCCCGCCCCCCATGTGACTTCGATGGGTCTCCAGTCACCGTTGACGAACACGATGTTCCAGGCATGGTTTGTGTCCGTGTCGTCCGTGATCTTCACCTCGGGGTCAAACCCATATCCTTTGGCTATTCCGGAAACAACTTTGCAGGGTATCTTCACTTCCCTAAATGGACAAAATCACATTTATGTTTTGAATTATAAACAGTTTTAAAGATTATGGAAAATCGCAGCCAAACGTATCTGTTGACAGTTCTTTAATGTGTCAGGAGAATAATGTTCGATACCATGGTCTTGCATAAGAACCTCTGCATCGAACTTACCCGTGAAGGTCCGGGTTAGAATGAACCTTCTGTAACCTATGCTTCTCGTAAGTGGCGACTAACGGGATCGGGTGGTCAGACTCGGTGGCTGGTTGACACATGTCATCATATCCCAATTGCACAAATCGATACCCATGCTGTTGATCACTGGGTTGTCTGGTCCAGATTCGATTATTTACAGACAGCCGCCATACAGCTGGAATATTGCTGAATGTGGCGTAGAACTAAACTCACTAATTGCATCGAACTTGAGATAATTCGACAGAAATTACATGTATCTCACGGGCTGATCTGTTGCAAAAACGGTAAGGTAGTCAGATGCAAAATCTCACCATGGTAACTCACACGTTTCCAGCAATCACGTTCCACTCAATCATATCCATTTATATTTCTTAACAAGTAAATTTCTGCCGCTACTAGGAACCAACCTGCAAAGTGCCAAGAAGAGCGAGGAGAAGCCAGCACACACAGCCCTCTTGTACCTCAACACCGAGTCGGCGTCCTGGGGGCCGCATTTACCCTTCCGCAGGATGTTGGTGTCATACCTGGAAACACCAGTATGTTCTTAGAAATTCGGAAGATATTTCGTATGTACCAGTGCTACCATAAAAAATAATTTAATAGACGTCGACAACGGGTGAACAAGATGATAGCAGGGGCGATCATGTGAGAACTGGTCGGCAACCCATACTCGTCTATTGGTGACGTGTCGGATCGGGTGGTCAGGCTTAATGACTAGGTTGTTCATCCATTCATTTACCCCATTTAGTAGCCTGGTGTCCATGATGTCCATCACTCTATTGTATCATCTGAGTCGATTGTTTGAAGACCCCTGCCATATTCCTGAGTGAGGTGTCAAACACACAAAGTAACAAGAAATGTTGTTGGGACCAGGACTGGTGTTCGAAGTTTTATCTCAAACGTTCCATCTATGTCTGAATGAGTGTGGTTTCAGGCAGGCTGCTGTGAGCAGTACTCCAGCGACATAGTGAAGGAAGGCATATGCTTCACCGTTAACGTATTGACGTCGTCTTGAAAATGTGCCATACCACCTGAGTATCAATGCTAGAATAATGGCAGCACGTCTACCTGACATTGTGAGCAATCCATCTGAAAAATGCCCTGATTTTCTCCATGTTATTCTGGGCTGGTCTACTGAGGTACTGGGCGAGGAAGGCCACTGATGACTGGACGCTGTCCGGTGCCTGAAAACGCGTAAACAACATTAGCTTCACATTTCTTAATCTGAAACTCCAACGGGTAGATGACGTAGAGGGAGAAGAAGAAGTTTATTAAGCTGTAGGCTCAATTACAGGACATAACAAACCAAAACTACATACAGCATGCTGGTGGGGTTGGGGGTGGTGGTTTGAAAGCTGTACATGTGATGTGTATACGATCAAATTAATGAGGAACATATAGGTACAGTTTCTTGTACATATTTTGAAAATTTGATTAAGGTCTTTGAATCATCAGAATTGAAAGTATCTATAGCGTGTCTTTTGTATTATACTGTATGTATGAAAAATATTCAATGAACACTTTACAGACGCATACAAATCTAATTCTAGTGATCACTTATTTTCGAAAACCATGTTTGGACATAGCATGTTTTATTATTTTCGGATATTCACTAATAAACAAATAATCATTATTCCCCACGCATTGATTTTCCAAAACAAAACCAGATCCATATGAGTAAAGTAGTTTTCTGTTTTAAATATTTGAATCCCATGTACTCTCCAATGGTGTTGATGTCGTCTCACTAACATTCTGCAACAATCTTTTTGGGTATTTCATCAATGAATTTCTGGCAAAATATGTACATATATGTCTCACAACAGGGTGAGAACAACAGACTATTTTATAGAATTCTATATCAAATTCCAGAATGTCTTCACACATCAGCCACTGATTCAAACATATGGAATCAAAGTGAAGCATCCATGGTAAAATGTTAAACATTATTTATGATAACAGTTTAACACAGCAGCTGTAAAGTTAGCATTTCAGAATATTACGATTGTTTCAGCGGAGTTAGACAAGGTTTTTATTAAGTTCTGTTTTAACTTCTTTGAGTGGCATTTTAGAAGTTGGGAGGTACAATATAGGACAAACTTTATGGATAACAACCAATAAAAAGAAGTTGTTATCCATAAAGTTTGTCCTATAAAGTTCTATTTTATCTATATATATTGCAAGGTTTCAACTACTTGGTAGTAGGGGGACGTTTGTTCTATGCCGATTAATGAATGCTGTTGTTTTCTGATTCGGTATTTGGTTTATAGCTGAAAGTTGATGAAGATTCATTATTTAGGAAGTGGGGCGTGGGGGTAAACTACATCCAAACTGAAATCCTTGTATTCCTTAATGATACTAAACTAAGACAATATTGAAAAGTGGGTGATGTATGTATGCTTTACCTTAAGAACATATTCGTCAATATGAGCGAAGGCTTCAGGTGGGGGTACTGCCTCTGATTTCTTCTTCCTCGGGGGGATGATGGGCGGATTTGGATCCCCGTTGTCATAGCTGTCAGTTTCCTGCAGGTCGTCCGTCACCTCACGTTCCCAGGGACTCACGTTGACACAGGGACTCCTTGGTGTGTTTGAGTTCCATCCGTCGCCATTACCAATGGGGCTTATATTTTCTAATCGGAATTTCTCCGTCGTCACAGTCGCCCACGTGATGCTTGTCGAAGAGTCGACCTCTTGTTTGGAATTGCCACAACCCATGGTACAGGGTAGGCAGACGGTTCCTGCTCACTGTAATATAATATATTCTATGTGTCATTGTTCATGGGTCATGTAGAATTAATTTGTAGTATGTACTTTTATAGCGGTTCATCCACATCACTGAGGGACATGTTCTAAGCGCACACAAGTCAAGTTCATTATTATCCCGGATAACCCAAGAATGAGAAGGTGGTGAGTGGGTGAGTTTAGATTTAAAGGCCCAATTTTCCAGTATTGTTACAGCGGGTGACACTAGAAATGGGCTTCGCACATTGTGCCCATGTCGGAACCAAGGTCTCTGGCGTGACGAGCGAACGACTTAACCATTAAGCCAACCCACCGCCCTTGAGATTACAACAGCAGACTTCAGCGGTGAAGTTAAGTTGCAGTTGCAACTGGAATGAACCATTTTCCAACAACATTGACTGATATTTTTTTGTGTTATCCCCGTGTGACTAAGATTCCATCACCTTCAATCTTGCATATTTCAAGGCTTCGACATTCACAGAACTATTGGCGCTTATTGGCAAATGTTCATGTCAGACGATGACCTGTTTTGGTTAAGCGAGTAATTGAATGTGAGTGAGTATAGATGTGTGAACGGGAGCAGTAAGAGTTTTGAGTGATTGGGTGTGACTGAATGGACGATATATACATCTAGATTGAAGATTATATTTCACTTCATGATATTGCACTTTACCCACATGAGAAGCAAAGGAAATTACGTCTCTCATATTTACATTTTTTGCCAACTGAAAATACAATTTTCCAAAACATGAACTGTAAGTCAACACTTAGGGCAACCTTACGCACAGGTTTACTTTTATAAAAGATAATTTGATTCTTAACTGAAAATTACAAAGTATATCATATATATATTAAATATAAATATATTTACAAAAGTGTACACAGTTACTGATAGATATCTTATGCATCAGGTTTGGGAAATTCAATATATTGACTCTTTTGCAGTTAGGTAGGCATTTACAACATTTCAAACAGTATTGATCGTGTCTATAATTTATTATCCCAGTCTTCACTGAACCAATTTTCTTTCTCCAAAATTCACACCTACCGATTACTTTTCGGAAACTTTTGAAGATAAAAATGGTGGTCAATGGATCTGTGTGGACTTGACTTCAGGCTCATTTTGGAGCAACATGTTTGTAAATTGTGATTTATCTCAACTACTCTACAAAGAAGCGTTATACTCACCTTCTTCGCTCACTCTGAGCTCATATAGTCTTCTCCGGTCTTCGACTCCTGTTCATCATAGCTAGGTTGTACCCTGTACATCTCCCTTCGCTGTCGACAGTTGGTGTCTGCCGCACAAATGGCCGAGTAGGTTGCCTAGTTGCATTGTAAATATTACATCACAGGTCCGGCAGGATATAATAGGATAACATATGTACACTAATCTGTATATCTATATGTGGATTTGTCATATACGTTAATCTGCACCTTTTAAGAGATTAATTCACGTCACGCTTAGTAAGCTGATAATTCTATGTATCCGCATAAACTGACGGTTTAAAAACGTATACACATGGTTGTTGGTGACCTTAACACGATGTATTTCATACTGGTATGTTAATGTGGTTTGGGGGCTAAACGTTGCAATGTTTCGGTGACTGATTTTTAACCTGAAGACGGGTTGTATTTTTTTTGTAATTTTAAGTCAAAACTTATAATCAGTTACAATGTGCCAGCCAGTGTAGTTGGACATAATATGAATGGTGTGGCTTGGACAGTCTGTCCGTATATGGCCCTGATTATCATTAGAAACATTTACAATGTCAACTTCTTTGAGAGGCATTTAGAAGCTGGGGCAGTAAAGAAGGATAACTGTAAAGAAGTTCTTCATCCATATATTGTTATCCTTCCTTATTTACAATGTTGTTTGTTTGTTTGTTTTTGGACATTTTGGACAGACAGATATAATTATCACGATCTTATAGAAATTTCTTCGTTAATTATTTTCACAAAACATAATTTGTCACATTAGGATTTTAGGTTCAGAAAACTTTGTTCGAATTCGAGCACATTGCAACGATCCCAGGTTCGAACTACTGTGAACATTTGTTGGGTTTGCTGAACAAAATTACCAACAGTCGTTGCAGTGTACGATCCGACTGTATTTCATCGTATGCCCATTACTTGGATGGTCGCTCATCCTGTCAATTAAACAGACCTAGTTGTGAAGACAGTCTGCCTTTGAACGAAACCTGAAACGTTTTTCTGCTACTCACATGACCATCCGGCATTCTGCCCTCATTGTAACGACTTTCACCTTCTAACAATATAATAGGATTCTCAAAAAGAAGCTGTTGTAACAGCTGAGGGAACCCAGTCTTTTTGCCGACCTTGGATAAGGCGTTAAATGAGATTGTGATGTTATGTAATTAGGCTTATGTTGTGTTAATCAATAGCCCATTATTCACACAAAACATGAGGCGTTAATAATGCGGCTTTGTTATCCACCATAGGATCGTGGCATGCTATCAGTGTTACAATCTTGGTTTATTATCCCCTGTATGATCTTAGTGTAGTATCCACTGAACGACCTTGGTGTACCGTATACCGGGAAATTTTCAAGGTATTAAAATTTCGAGGTTTGAGACCCCCGGCCAGAGCTTTCGAGGTGATTTAAATTTCGAGGTTTGGGGACCTAAAATATATAAATATTTTAGACAATGTTAATTTCGAAGTTAGAAGAAAGGGGCCACAAACATCACTTACCGGACCAATACTCACTGAGCTATCGGCAAAACTCCTAGTAGCCTGTGATAACTGCTGTCTGACTGTTATAACAACCGGTATACCAGTCCATGGTAGCAATAATAGTAATGAAAACAAACATTTGATCCTTTGTTGTGATAAATGGCCCATAAAACATTCTAACGGCAGAGTTCAAACATGACGACATTTTTTTCTCAGACGATATTGTTTTCTTAACAACTAATTATAAGCATGTATGCATGGGTCTCTGCTGAAACTATGTTGTTGTTAGAAAGCTGAGAAGTTGAACTCTTTTGTTTACGATAGTTTATTCATGTAAGTAGCTTGACTCAAACGTGCCATCGCACGAATAAAAGTTTGTTTCAGTCGATGTCGTTGCATTTTAACGAGACAAAATGAGTCTAATGGTTGTAGACAGGCATTACAGAGTTAATGCGCATGTCAGGAAGTCATTGTTTGCCAGCAGTTGAAATGCTTATCGATAGGAAATCTAGCCCAAAGGTACGAAGTTCGGAAAAATTCATGGATATAATATTTTCGAGGTTGCGTTTCTAACCTCGAAAATTAGATACCTCGAAAATTTCCCGGTATACGGTATCATAAACTCGGCGTATTATCCACTGTATGATCAGAATATATCATCCACTATACAATCGTGAAATATTATCCACTGGATGATCTTGGCGTATTATCCACTGTACGAATATAATGTATAATCTCTCCTATACATCCATTAAATATCACCCACTGTACGATCATAACGTATTATCCACTGTACGACCATGATGTATTATCCACTATACAATCGTGACATATTATCCACTGTACGATCTTGACGTATTGTTCACTGTGCAACCTGAATGAGTCATCCATTGAATGATCGTGAAGTATTTTCCACTGTACGATTTTGTCATATGACCCTAGAACTTCTGTTATTATTTCCACTGCATGACCTTTATGTAATATTGTCTAACGTCTTGGTGTAAATCGCGCGTACGATCTGTAAAGAATACACCCTCGTTGTATGATCTACTGTACACCTGGGTGTACTGTACGTATACACTGTTATGTAATCGTACATATCATATGTATATTTGTGATGACTGAAAAAAATAGCAGGCCATAAAACGTCAAGTATCCTGGTAGCTGGTGCTGTTACTCTCACGGTACCTTGTGTAATAGAGTTATTTCCCTTATGTAATTAGTTAGTCAAAGTCAAAGCGTCGTCCACCTCTCATGTGTTACAACGCATAGCCCGACTATATTATCCTTAGACACTTGGGTATATCAACCAGTGTATACTCGTACTCAGGCAAACATGGCAAGTACACAAGCTGTGCTGTACATTTCAAGTGCACCTATATTATCAGGTTACTCTTAGTTCGAGGACACATAAACACGTCTAGATTTTATGTATTCTTTACTTTACAGCCCAATAAAAGCTTTGACAATGAAATCATAAACTAATAAACGTACTGTTTGTCGAACAGGCATTGTGTATAAAATATGTGAATGTGTTGTAACTGTTTTCAGTTGGGTGTCCTATATTTCTGTTCCTTTATACATATTAACAAGAACGAATATTATATACATCGACGCGACCCGTTGAGATCGGGGGTAGAATTGGTCTTCATCAACCCATGCTTGCCACAAAAGGCGACTATGCTTGTCGTTAGAGGCGACTAACTGGATCGGGTGGTCAGGCTTGCTGACTTGGTTGACACATGTCATCGGTTCCCAATTGCGCATATCGATGTTTATGCTGGTGATCACTGGATTGTCTGGTCCAGACTCGATTATTTACAGACAGCCACCATATAGCTGGAATATTGCTGAGTGCGGCGTAAATTTAAACTCACTCACTACATCGACGCTTTTATTACATATATACAGTCCTATCTTTCACCTCTGAATGCTCCCTCTATTGCTTTTCCACTCCGACAGGCCTGTCCCCCTGAAATGGACATGGCACTGACACTGAACCCATGATGTTGAATTAACTTTGTGTATTCATAGTTCGCCGCCATTGGAGACGTGCCAATTTACACTTGTCAGAGGGGTACACGAAGTTTGTGAGATCGACCACAAGTTGTTGGACTCCCATGGTTGTGGAAGCCGCGGTGGATGAGTAAGCATGAATTATCCCAAATATAAGATACGCTCATGGAGAAATAGTAGTGGTAGTAGTAGTAGCAGTAGAAGTAGTAGTAGCAGTAGCAGTAGCAGTAGCAGCAGCAGTAGTAGTAGTAGTAGCAGCAGCA